CATTGCGCTTCGGAGACCATTACAGACAAGAAGTATTTGAAACTCAAGTTAAATTAAGAATTCAAAAACCCGGCGAGAGTTTACAAGAATTCGAATCGGAAGTCAAAAGACTCGTGAGTTTAGCGTTTCCTGCAGCTGGGGAAGACATGCAGGAATGGATTGCAGTATCTGCGTTTATCGATGGTCTCAGAGATTCCAAGAAAACCTGAGAATGTCCAGGTTCAGGAAAAGTAGCGCAGCCCTTGTCCGAGCATTGGAACTGGAAGCAATCTTTGGTGCCCACGACCGAGAATACGAGCAGTGTCCACTGAAGACCCAAAGGATAAACCATCTTCAAAAGAGGATGAAGAAACTATTACTAGAAGTTAGACAAACAGAAAACGACTCCAAACAAACACCAACACCGAGAAACCGAGTAAAATGTTACCGGTGCCATAAGCTTGGACACAGCAATGGGATTGTAGACTAAGGATGTCCTCTCCATCTAGAGATCGTTCCCAACGCTTTTCGAGATCTGGAGAGGCCAACCACACATCGACCTAGAAACCTGCATGAAAATGTTCACGCTCTGTCTAGACGGCCATGCAAAGAAGACTGCGAGTCTCATCAAAAAAAGAAAGAGAAAAAGAGAAAAACACTGGTCCAGCCGTGAGAAGAACGGGCCGTTGATGATAAATGGACTAACAAACAAATGAGAGCGGATCAAGAGGCAGACCAGGACATCGGTCAAATTCTACATCTTAAAGAAAATGATGAATGTAGGCCAGAATGGAGGGAAGTGTCGAACAAGAGTTTGATTTACAAGGCGTTGGGCTCAGTGGATCTCTCTGGCCGTAGAAGTAAGGGTTTACTGAAAAGAGTTTGGGAATGTGTTGATGGGAAATCTACTAAGAGCCAACTGGTTATTCCAAAAGATCAAGTAGAAGATATCGGGTCTTCAAAAAAAAAACCAATCGAAGATTGCTCTGATTACGAAAACGTACGTCGAATTATTGTTTCTTTATTGGTCAGGATTTTTGACATGACATTTTGAGTAATTTTGACATTAAAGTTCATTGACAAAATCCAGGAAAAAGAAATACATGACGGAACTTCAGGGGCACATTTTGGAGTTAACAAGACTTTGGACAACATTCGGGAACGTTTTTACTGGGTTCACTATCAGGAAGACGTTAAAAACTCGTGCCGAAAATGCGACATCTGTGCTACCACACTGAAAAAAAAATCGTTCATAATATTGACAAATAGCGGTTGTTATTTTTTTGTCATCAATTAAATGCAATATTTCATCAATCCAATTAATCTGTGTTCATAGCCTAATTACTTCGTTCCTTAATGTAACGAATTTATGTTCATTATTATCATAAAACCCGTGAATTTTTATTTTCCATTGTTCAAACGAACACTTTCATCAGTACATATAAGGAACTTTCTTTGAAGACCAGTGATTCTATTCCTTGATTTTATGAATAATCGTTCATAAACCACATTCATTGTACTGATGATTATCTCTTATTCCAAAAAGTTTGTTCATCATTCATTCATTGTATTAATGAAGTTATGCATCGAATTAATGACCAAGAGTTCATTAATTAATGAATATGTTTCATCAGCTTGACGTATGTGTTAGTGATTTAATGAACGTTTATAACTAACGAACTTTACTCATTAACTTAATGAATTTTATAGTTTTGATATAGATCTTTTCATCATGCTAACGTATAGAATTCATCAAACACACCCGCACTCCATATTATCGACAGTATATCGTAAATTAACCGGAAATTATATTTTGTGTTGGTGTTTAATTCAACTATTTTTGGAATGGCCTAGAAAAATGCATTCATACGTTAAGCCAATGAAACCGCATACATTAAATTGAAAATTCGATTCATTAAACCAATGTTATTTGTACATTATATTGAAGAAGTTATTTCACTCAGGCAACGAATTCTATACGTCTAAATGATAGAATCTTTACACTACGATAATGAATTCAACCTTTAAATCAATGAACCTTTTTTTCATCTATTTAACGAACAGCTTTTCATAATATTAACAAATTCGTTCACCGGCTCAATATTAATAACGAGATTCACTGGCTTAATGTACTTTTTTGTTATATTTGAGGCCCATGAAACAGTACAACGTCGGTCTTCCATTTTAAAGAATAGCGATAGATGTAACCGGACCGTTCCCAGAATCAGAGCGTGGTAACAAATACATCTTAGGCCGTGTTTATGCTGGAACTGTGATAAACGATAAAAGCAACGATACTAGCGAAGCAACGAAATACAATGCCTGTGTTTATGCAGGGTCGTCTCTAACCATCTGGGGGCCCTAGGCACTTCTAAATTTGGGGGCCCCTATCCCCATTTCTGAAAATGTCAAATTAGGCAACAATAATTATTCGGAAGATAATTTATTTATACAGGGTGTCCACTTAGTGCAATATCGGACGATATCTCATTCCTGGTGATGCAAGAAAAAAAAATTAAATTATAAAGTTGTTTGATACTCTAAGATGCATTAGTTAAAAATTTTCGGAGATTAAATTTAACTGAAATTTTTAATCATGGATTAAATTCAAAGTTGGTGTTAAATGATAGTTTATGAAAATCTAAGACAGGAATGTAAAATGGGTTTTCGTCTAAAATTTACCGTGTAGGTTTTACAGCCTGTCAAAGTTGCAAAAAGTCAATTTTTAACTGTCAATATTTCCAAAAAAGTTGAACCTAGGTATAGGGTATATTAGATGAAATCTGGTCAGAATTTTACGTAGAATCCAAATATTCAATCACGTACAGGGTGTTTCATTTAAAATAAGGAAGTTCTGTCGCATATCCCATAAACGGAGCACCCTTTATATTCAAAAATATTTTTAACTAATGCATATTAGAGTATCAAACAACTTTTTTCTCTTGCATCACACTGTAAGGAGATATCGTCCGATATCGCACTAAGTGGACACCTGTATATATCAAAAATAACAAAATGAAACACATATTTTTGGGTACCTACATATAGGTACAAACAAATAAGTAACCTTTGCCTAACTAAATAATAATATTTAATAGGTATATCGTGCTACAAGAAACAAGTCACAAGTCATATTTCAAAAAGACATTTACAAAACAAAACAAAACAATTCTAAACGACGGGGCTCCCTATGACAGGGGGCCCTGGGCCAGGGCCCAGCTGGCCCATGCCTAAAGATGGCACTGTGTTTGTGCGCAGGTGTCTATGTTGGAACGGCAAGTAGAGCACCACTTTTTTGATACTTTTGATAGGATACTTTTGAATAGCTCTTATCACCGCTATTATCGGCCCTCTCATAGCTTTTATCGCAGCTCAAACATAAACACGGCCTTAGTTATCATGGATAACTTCAGTGAATGGCCAGAAGATTTCGCTATTCTCAATCAAGAAGCCATCACTATTGCTCAGGTGCTAGTGGACGAAATTTCGAAATCTACCACCTTTAAGAAAATGAGATCCTGGGAATTCGTAAGACAAGGATAACTTCTTTACATCCGCAGTCTGATGGCATGGTAGAACGATTTAATAAACCATAGAGAAACACCTGACAAAAGTGGTCGCAAAGAACCAGCGAGATTGGGACAAACATTTGCCTCTATTTTTAATGGCTTACAGAGCAGCTGTTCACGGGTCAACAGGTGAAAGTCCAGCTTGAATCGTTTTTGGAAGGGAACTCAGGTTACCTTGCGATCTGATGTTTGGAATACCTGAAGAAGAAAGAAAAAAATTCGAGATTATGCCGACCAAGTACGGGCACAACTTCTGAGGATACGTGATTTTGCTCGAGAGCATACCTATCCAGCTGGCCAGTGACCGAATGCAGACGAGATACGACTTCAAAGCCAATTCAGCTGAATTTCAAGAAGGTGATCTAGTATGGCTATATAATTCAACAAGAAAGAAAGGAGTGTCGCCGAAATTGTCTTCAGCATGGGAAGGATCCTACAGTATAATTCAAGAGGATCAATGATTTGGTTTATCTTGTTCAGCGCAACACCATGCAGGAGTAAGATGAAAGTTGTATATTTTGACATATTGACAAAATATCATGGGCGTGACGTTGACCGGGACGATCAACCTTAAGAGGAGGGCAGTGTAGCGGTGCGCTTTCGCCATGGTGTACAGAATTAACTTGAAATGTAGAAAATACTGCCTTATTCGGGCAAAGAGATTATCGCGTTTATTCTGGACTTTACAAGATTGGATTACGGATATATAAAGGCCGGCATTAGTTAGCAGTTTTTAAGTTCAAGATTGACTGGGATACGATTTAGATAGTGAATTTTGTAAGAGTTATAGAGAGTTAAATTGTTTGAGTTAATTAGTGGAGTAATTAGTGTCAGAGTAGTAGCGTGGAATAAATGGGTACAATAAGCCTTCTCAGGCTTCAGTGCTGCATGGGGACAAATAAGTCGGACAGGCCTGGAACAAGGGAAAAAAAAACGTGGAATAAATTATTTTTGTTAACTGGACTTTGATTTTGGAATAAACGAACCCAAGATTTCTGTCACGCACACCAGAACGGTGACAGTATGTTAATAAGGACCTGAAACACTAACTATTGAGTTGGGTCCCAGTTTTGTAATAATTTGTTTAGGGTCAACTCTTGAGTTTACTGGAGTATAAGTGCTGTAGCATACCCATACCACCCTCCCAAACTTACAGATACACATGTCATCAGCGATAGCGATATTAAGCTGGCAATCAATGAACAACATAAAGCATGTTTTGATTTGATTGCAATTGTCTTCAATTTGAGCCACAGTACTCAAATGTAATAATATGGCAAGCATGTGTAAACGAAAAGAACAGAATGTCAATAATTGCAAGTTTGATGGAGAAAACACAGATTACAGACAGCTACTTAAAAATAATAAAAAAAAACACATAATTGCACATATAAGCAAAGAGAACTGTTATCACATTGAACATAAATAAAAGCAGGCACAAGCCACACCTACCTTCAGTGTTGGGCAGAACTCCCTTTTCTGACGTTTCGGCATGCTTCATCGTCGATTTGTCGAAATGCTCAACGCCGTTCAGCAGATTTTGGTGCGTTCTCTCTTGTAGCACAACTAAATCAAATCGTGCAAAGCAAATTGATGAAAATAGGATCATGCAATAAAAAATCGGTTATTTACAACATAAAAACTCTAGGCTATTGAACTCATTTTCTCCATGTCATACATAACTCCATAAAACTTTTATTGCTTACTCACATTCCTTTAAATAATCTAATGTCACACCATATTCATGCATACATCAATTATTATTATCATTATTAACCACAATGGATCTATTTCTGTTATTGACTTATGGTAGTAGTGGGTTATTAATTAGCTATAGGTTTTTTATGGCTGTATAAGGAGAACTGATAGTATGGTAAAATATGAGTCAGAGAGAATATATTTATAAAAGCAAAAATGCTATCCAGACTGCTGGCAAATTAATTATACACACAATCTCATAAATTCGCTAAATTGCCGTAGAATCGTTCGATGTGTACCCAGTGATGTCTGCCTTGTGGTGAAAAATTGCGAAATTGCTGCAATTTGCGGTATTTAAAAAGGAACAGGGTCAATAAACTGTAATGGTGTTGAAATGGAATTGCCAAAAATATGCAACAAAAGAAGCGATTTTATTCACAAGCATGCGTTTTTTTTGTGAAAAATATAAGAAATAAGTAACATACCATCTTTGTCTGGTAACGGATTCTTCTCTTGAGTTTCGGTGTGCTTCAGTTTGGTGGCGTCGAATTTTGCGATGCCTTCGATGAGAGCTTTTTCAGACTTTTCCGCCGCTACATCTAAAAACATAATTTATTTAACAACAAATATAATATCTACAGTTTTATCGTAAACCTTCAAAAAATCACGATATTATCAACGAAAATTGCATTAAAATAAAACCAGGCTAATCAAAGGATTATATACCAACCCAACAACAATCGGTATTTTTGTAATGACTAAAAATAAATGTCATAAAGATTACATTCATTTTAAACAATATGTATGTGCTGTATGTTTTTATTAATCACCACTGTTAATGATTTTTTTTAAAATCATCAAGTCAATTATATCAATTTAATTCAAAGCAAAGTTAGAATATCAAGTTAATTTGTTATTAAAAGCCAAAACAAACATAAGCATCATTAATGGTATTACTATCTCACTGAACCCTTTTTTGGCAAAACTATCATTTTTTTTTACCTTGTGCATTTGGTAGCACAATCTTCTCTTTGGTGTCTGTGCGTTTCAGTAAGGAACTGTTAAAGTTTTCTACTCCTGCTATGAGGGCGTTGTGAGTCTTTTCTTGGGCTACATCTACATAGAAAATATACTACTTTTGAAACAACACTTTTATCTCAAATAACGGTTCAATCCTGTCATCCAAACATCAAACCAACATCCAAGATAAACTGAAGATTGGTTGTCTTTATTATCAAATAATGCTTTAAATTATTATGAATTAAGAAACAAAACCCCATTGATGACAAAAATCTACCTTTAACTCTTTTGCATTAAAGTAGAGATTGTTCTAAACTATTGTAAAATCCAATTTTCATTGTCCTTCACATCTTTTCGACTATTGGAAACAAATATCTAACTTCTACTAGCAACAACAAAACAGTATCCCGCCCACTTAAACATTCTTTTTTTACTGTTTGAAAAACAAATCCCGTCTCTGTATTAGCTGGTTCAGCTCAATCAAGCGCCCTTGTATAAATAGTTATTTTAACCCCAGACATTCCTTGACAAGCAAGATGAATATGGCGCAGATGGAGGGTTCTAAATTCGTTTCTTATTGAAACGAGCTGAGAGAAAAAAAAAAGACATAAACGACCGGGAGTTTTCGGATTTAATAGCCTGCTTGCACCGAGACATATTGCTAAATTTATTCCGGAGGAATTAGCATAAATCAAACTTATTTTCAATTGAGTCTTATTTCTGGAATATATACCTTCAGCGGACGGTAAAACAATTTTTTCCTGAGTTTCTGCATTCTTCAGTTTGGTCGAGCTGAAACCTTCCAGTTCGCTCTTGAGGTCACCAGCAACTTTGGGCAAATCTTTGAGAGCTGGTGGAGCTGGAGCAGCTGGAATTGCGCAGGAAGACATCTGAAACAACAAAAGAGATTGTTTTTATAACAAATTCATTATCAATTTTGCAAATTTTATGCAAAGTCGCAAACGTTAAGCTGTTACACTGAATTCATTAGTTAATTGGGCTGAACTCATTAAAACTGTTAATTCAACCATCCGGTGAAATACTTCTATTAAGATTATCTCTAATTTGAGAAGTAAACTGTGCAAAAAGAGTATTGTTTTGCATAAAATATTTAGAGGAAATTTCATGGTTTCATCAAAGCAAATCATTTTCTAAGAAAGGTTGAGAGTAATTAAACTGCAAGCCAATGACATTCACAGAAACTATAAAAAGATCATAGCACTAAGTCCAAACAGCAAAGTTTACAACAGAATTTAGACTCGTTAAGACAGACAACATAATCCCACACCCGTCGCCCACACAAAGAGATATATAAGAATTAGCATAAAAAATGAGGCAACAAGTACATTTTTTTGTTTATAATTATTATTGCTGCATTAGATTAAGGACACTTTCATTTTCATCATCTGGATACAATGTTTTTATTTTAAGAATCTTATGAGTTTGTTTAAAACAGAACAATACAAATATTTTTAAACTGTACCCTTCGACTATACATATAATTTTTTCGTCATGGCTCTTGGTCAATATACAAAATAGTATGAGTAACTTGGTAAATCAAATCAGACAAGGCACTTGTCTTTGTTAATAAATAAAACGGAACACGCTTTATAAGTCATAATTGTTTCAAATCCCAATATAGAACCAACCAAGGATTAAGAGTTTATAGGGACATTAAAAAAAATCTGTTTAAGGAATGAATTTTAGTAAACAGGAAAAAACTTCCTATATTAGGATTTACTATAGTTAGACAACAAATTCTACAAATATGAAGCTTAAATATTATATACTTTTTGTTTTATGTTGACATATTTATTATTTGTGGATATAAATTTGCCACTCAGACAAACTCGAATATTGAATTTGTTCAAATTTGGGATTATTTTATGGAGGGAGTGTGTTGTATAACACATATTACTAATGTGAAAATGGGTTAATGAAATACACTCCGAAAAAAATAACACACTCGGTTTACTTAAAACCATAAAGCATTAACAATTACCAAAGGAATTCGTATTTAACATAATATCCACCCTAAATATAATTTTTAAACCAAACACAGAAGCAAGCAGAGAGGCGAAGACATTGACCAATGACAGGGCAATAGCTTTTGCTCATAACTTTACCAAGTGTATGTGGGAAATAATAAATACAAAACGGGGTAAAAAAGTAGTGCTAAAAAAAGCACTGCTTCGGTATCTCCTGATGAATTCAATAACTTTTTCTAGACTATTGCTATATAACTTAATAAATGACTTGCCGGCCTCGGATGCTGATCCCCTTCTGAATCTACAAAAAATAGGCGCTGCCTGTGGTGTATTCCGCTACAAGGAGGTAAGCTTTGTGCAGTTTAGGTACAGTCTGGACCATTTGAAGAAGAAAAAATGCTCAGACATATATGGTATGTCTGTGGAACTTGTGTTAAGTGTGAGGGACCTGATAATCACCCCTCTTACTTAATTATTCAATCAATGCATCAGAAAGTGTACTTTTCCTAAAGTGCAAAAACGCGCGCTAATTACACCAATATTTAAAAAGGGGGATGAAGAGCAGGTGTCGAACTATCGGCCTATCTCCTTGCTTCCTGTAATATCAAAAATATATGAAAAAATCTTGGCCCTGCAGATGGTGGATTTTCTCGAGTCTATAATAGTCTATTCTTCGACAGACAGTTTGGGTTTAGAGGAAGTAGGAACACAATTCTGGCAATTTTGGACCTGCTAGGGGGTATCATGGATTCTTTTGAGAATCGGAAGTACTATAGCGCATTGTTCCTGAGCAAGGCTTTTGATTGCGTCAGTCATAGCGTTTTGCTGGAAAAACTAAAGTACTATTATTTTGATCAACATAGTATCAGGCTGACGCAATCATACCTCAGTGAAAGGTACCAGACTGTCATGGTCAATGGTGAGGCGTCTGCGGAGACCTGCATAAATATTGGTGTGCCATAGGGTTCGATTCTTGGACCGGTTCTCTTCTCAATATTATATAAACAACCTACCTTCTGTAGATGAGACCTCCAGGTTTGTACTCTTTGCGGACGATACCACCTTGTCTATAGAGACACCGAAGATGAGGCGGCCGGGAGGCTCATGGATGCACCTGTGAGGGTGGAGGATGGTTTCTGTCCAACAAATTGCTGCTATATCAGGACAAAACTCATGATATGCTTTTCACTCTCAGAGATAGCCATAGAGCCACTGTTGATTCAATCACCTTTTTGGGGGTTAGAATAGATCCCAAGCTAACCTAAGAGGACTACGTTGAGACTGTGTGCAAGAAGTTGAGAGGTAGTGTATTTGTCTTGAGAAATTTGGGTGAGTATGTGTCAGATGAAACGCCTAAGAATGCGTACTATGCATTATTTCATAGGGTTATGTCTTATGGAACATTTGTCTCTAGTGGCTCAGGACATGCCGAGAGGGTCTTCAGACTACAGAGGAAGGCCATCCGAATTATCGCAGGACTTGGATACCGGGAGAATTGCAGGGCTGCTTTCGTGGGATTGTGTGTGCTCACTTTTCCCTGTGTTTATTTTGCAGAATTTGCTTTACATAAAAGAGAACGAGTGTGCATTTGCTAGTCTGAGGACTCACATGGTCATAATACCAGGAACAAAACTAATCTGGTAACAGCATATTGTAGGCTTAGTAATTGTCAAAAAAGACCTGAGTCCCTAGCTGTCAGGTTGTATAACAGACTCCCACACACAAAGTATTAAGGTCTTAACTGTTAAGGCTTTAAAGTGAAAATTAAAAATTTACTGGTGGAGAGGAATACATAGATTTCAACTTCTAGCCTCTGATACTGCCCCTGTCATTTTTTCTTTTCATTTTGGAACTATTTTTGATGTGCTTATTGTTCTCCTAATGTTCGGATAATGTTGTAGAGTTGTGTCATGTTCACTTGTAATAGGTATGTCATTGTCATGTACAATCATTTTAGCAGTTTTTAATCCTTTTAGCAAGCCCTATTGGCAAATGTTACTATTGTGACAAATCTCAAATCTCAGCCTACTGACACAGCTATTGATGTTATCACAAACAGCTGTATGCAACATCCTCTCTTAACTTAGAAGTGCTTTTTAAAACTGGTACCTTCAAAAATTTGTATGGCTTAGAATACCTATTTTTAAAAGCGACCAGTTTTAAAAAGCGCTTTTAGGTTAAAATAGGATGTTGCAGTTGCATACATCAGTTAGTATTTTATATTATTTTTTGTCTGATGTGTGTAAACACTATAATGTCTAATTAACATAAATAAATTTTGATTTGATTCGATTTGATTTCATTAAATTTACCCTCTATACACTCTCCTCTTGTCTTCGCTCTTCACAAAGAGCTTAAAAAAAAACAAGCTAAAAATCTCTCGAATGACTCGAAGTAATCTGAGAAAGTAAGATTCACAAACCCAAGATCCTACACAGATTCACTTCAAGGTACAAAATATGTATTAATAAAAAACGAATCTATAATTAGGGAGAGATACAGAAAATCTATTGGAGGAACATAAGCATATCATTGACAGCTGATAAATAGTTTTAGAACGTCATTGAGGACCGAAATGGAAACTCTGAGAAACACACGCTTTCCAATAGATAAAACCCATTTAAAGACATAAAATGCAACAAATTTTATTCTGTATTAATATGTCCCAGTAAAATCATCTGTTACATTTATGATGTAAAGTTTATATAAATTTGAGATCATTTTTTTAACAGCATTAGTTTCATGTCAAGTTTATGTAAATATTATGTAAACTGTAAGTCATCTTGCATGTTTAAACACAAGAACACATGAAGCAACGGCGAAATAAACCGCATAGCCGGAAAATTGTAGCTAAGAGAAACACGAAGGAGATGGACAGCTGATTTAGTATAAAAACCGCGCCAAACGCATGGCAACATTCGGACCTGATACTCAGCACTGTTTAACATTTTGACCTTAGATTCGGCACTCCACATGGCTGTTGCTAATGGGCCATTCTGACCTACGGCTCAGCACCGTTCAACATTCAAGTACCGATTTCGGCACTCCGCATCAATTGGCGGTCCGAATTCAAACGGACCAATGAAATATGCCTAGGTGCCGAATCCTATACCGGAATGTTTAGATGCGCCCGGGCAAGGGCTTATGGATCTTGCGCTGATCCAAGAACCGAGGGTTTACAGGGGGCAGGTAAAAGGGCTGACCACCAAATACTCAAAGGTTATATGAAACGATAGGCACGAAACGCCCAGAGCCTGCATAGTCATAGTAATCAAGAGACAAATTAATTATACTTGTGTTTCAGAATATATGACAAGGGATCTAGTACCAATCATGGTGAATTTCCACCACTTGGCCCCCACTTTACTATCGCATACTTGGTAACTCTGAAAATGAAACCAGAATCAGTGCTACAAAAGTGTCCCTACCTATCCTTATAGTCTGAGATCCGGCTGCAAATTTTTGGACCGATCGCGTAACCACTCGAAATTGCGAGAATATTGAAGTTTTGTATAAAGACTTTTGAAAAATGCCATGATGCCAGTGAAATTTTGGCCGAAAGTGCAATAAAAAAAATTATTTATTGCTAAATTTTTGAACATTGCTTATTTTCGAGGGTAACCAAAAAATTCCTGTTCCGGAATATGCGCGGCAATAGGGTCGTTTCATGATTTTTTTTGATTTTTTTATTGAATTAGGCACATCAAAAACTATTCATGGTTTTTTTCCCGCATTTTTTAGAATAATATTAAAGGAGATATTTCATTCAATTTGAAATTTTACTATTATTCGTTATTTTTAAAATTATGATGACGTCACAAGGCGAGCTTGCGCATAAATTGACAAGAAAGTGGTGAAATTAGATGACAATGGTAGGAGCGGCACAAAAAGTTATCCAGATC